AACTATATCGCTCTAGTATCACTGAGGCTTGAGGACGTATTAAAGCCTCAGTTTGCTGCCTCCTTATGGTTTGAGGTCTGCTTATGACTTATTTGGTCGAAAGCATATTTCAAAAATTATCTATTTACTTATCCGTTCATTTCTTTTTCAATGTTTATCTCACACAAATCAGTATTCAATCTATTTCTAAACTAACAAATCATATTATATATTCTACAAGTTCTGTGAACCCTTTTTATTTTAGCTGCTTGGTAACTGCGGCGACCTCATGGGGTTCGTTGCTGAAGAAAGTGGTCTTCAGTGTCGTTGATGTTATATTCCATGTTTAATCACTGATAAATGTATTCCCTATTCCTCAAATGGATATTCTACTTGTCAGTACTGAATGCTAACTTTTGCGAGCGTTTTCCACTTCAGAGTTTGGGAGATCAGTGTCATTTGCTATATTGATTCGCTCACTTAGAAAAGACGTTTTTCCTTGAGGGCGAAGTTAAAGTATCGTAGCCAAAGTCAAGGTCCCCCAAAAGTCGACCTTCATGGACCGATCATATACAGGGAATGCTATGAAAAGTCATTCCAAATCAAATCATGCCTGCCTTTTTGGACTTGGAGAAGATAGATGCAGTATTCTACTTATTTACTGGATGCTTTTTCATCAAAGCCACATTGTTAAGTAGGGTTATGGCTTTTAAGATTAAGGTTTAGTGTCTGCGGTTAAGGTTAGCACCTTGGGGTTAAAGTTAGAGTAAGGAGTTACGTTTGTGGTTAGAGTTAGGAGCTGGTTGAAGAATAGTGTTAGAAATATCAATGAATCTCCAATTACCACGACTTAGTGTCACGTGGATGAATAGATATATCGCGCACGGTACGATTTCTCCACAGATGATCTACGAAGTGACTGGAAAACATTCTCGCAACACATAACCCATAACTATAGAGTATAATATCACGTTTGCATTTTTTCAATGTATGTTTTAACGATTATGCAACTTTCTTGTATCTGAATTTTGATTCGTTGTTCAATGTCAAAGGGGTTTTGTCTATGATAGGTTAACTCTGCCATTTTGAGATTTTTGCCTCACGTTCCCCAGTGGAACATAGGGCTTCGAGCTAGTGGCTTGAAGTTTCTGTAGCAGTGTTTATTTTACAGGATGGGGTTACTAGCCTCATGCCCAACCTTTCCTCTTCACCAGCATTAGTTCTGCCTTAGCGAGGTAAAGGAGTGCGTCGGCCGGGGATAATATGCAGTACATACTTGTTGTCACAAATTTGCTAGCAGTTATTGTCAATACCTGCATATCGGGAGGATGTTGTGCAACGAAGCATACTAGTGCGGTAGTTAAAGGTTAGAGCTATGGAAAAATTTTACGTCGAAAACCGAAGCATCAAATAAGTGATGAGGTTATTGACATCGTCTACATGTGAGCAGTTAAATTTATCTATTTAGAAGAAATAGTAACCTTTTGATAGTTTAAGGGATGTTTTAAGTATTAGGGAAAAGGGTGGAACAATATAATAATAATAAATTTTATATCTGGAACAGAAACCAGCCGTTTTCACAGGTATGAACATATGTACACTAATTAGAACTTATAGAATATATAATATGATTTGTTAATCTAGAAATAGACTGAATACTGGTAATTGTGAGAGAAACATTTTAAAAGAAATGTACAAATAAGGGAAAAAGATACTTTTTGAGACTTGCTTTCGACCGAATAAGTCATAAGATATGGCGTCAAATCTAAACTGTAATTTAAAAAAATACGGTATGTCTATTTCACGCGGGAATTATAAATGACTGCGTTAATCTGGAAGGTAGATAGCATTTTTGTACAGGTGCTGACGTGAAACATAAGAGATGCAGAATGAACAATAATTATAAGTGAATTATTCACAAAGTGTTTGAAAGCCTATAAAACATCCTAGCAACAGGTAAGTACACCATAATTGTCACATTTCCAGTTGTACATGAGACCAACTTTGCACTTGTCGGCAGATTTCATGATAGGGTTGGTTCCGTTATTCACCAGGTGAGCTAGCAATATTCCAAGTAAGTAGAGGATAGCAGCACTGTATAACTGAATGCTTGGATGCTTAACATCAACTGACAAGTATACTCATATTCTGAAGTAAAATACAATCGGGTAAAGTATTTCATAGACAACGGTAGAGCAGTCTCCTGAAAGTACTTATTTATTGAGTAGCTTAATTTGTCTTTAAATGAAGGTGAAATTAAACTGCTATTGCTATTATTCAATTACGTTAGGATAAGTGTATCCAAATACTACTTCACTCATAATTCTGTCTTTCGAATAACTTAGCGAAGTGGCGTTTACTTTTAGCTTCAAATTACTAAGTGAAGGTGAACATACCTAGAAGTTTCTCGATAAAAAGATTAAATTGTCGCCAAAGTTAGTAAATATGTTCACATCTAGAAAATATTTAGATTTGGAGCTGTCTTTTCTACTACCACAACACCAGCTGACTCAGCATTTACAATCACTTAAAAGGTAGAACTAGATTTACTGAAGATAGTGTGCTTTGAACTTCTAGATATCGTGGTCTACCATGAAGGAAAAACTATATCCATAGGTTGATAAGGTTACAACCTATCCCTTTATTCGTGTCAACTATTGTGACGCCTGTTAAGACTAGATGAGGAACATCGGTGGTTTTAGAAAAATCCTTAAAGTTCCTTAAAGTTACGTACATTCAGTAATTATAGGCAAACTGGGAAACTCACCGAGTCATCACATATATACGGAAAATGAGTGAGCATAAAATGGAAGACCGATTAAAAGGAATGCCTTCTCGATATGGCACAGAGTTCACGTGAAGTAACGCATGTTGTTTGCTCCAATTATTATTATTTGCTGGCTGCCTCTGCACCTCTCTTTCTGTTTTCTTCTCTCTTGTCTTCTCGAAGGTACTGCATTGAAGCACGGCAAATGAACAGTAATGCTGCTTTCTACGTTTGTATTGCGTGGACGACATCCAAAATATTGTTAGAACATACGATGAACAGCGGAACAAATTCCATCGTGAAATTTGTTTCTCATCGTAAAGTTGGTCCCTTGTATCTGCTAATACCAAAATATTGTTGTACTGACCCTCTACTGTGGAGTTTTATAAATTTCCGAACCCTTATTAATTGATTAAATTATAATGATCGTAAGCTCTGTATCCTGTGTCTTACTCCAGCACCTGTGTATCACTTCTCTTCTTAACTTCCATTAACGCAACCTTTCGTAATTCCCGCATGATGTTGACTGACTATAAGTATATTATAGATTATAATTTAGACTTGAACTAATATGTTGTAATCAAGTCTAATAAAGTTTCTAGAGGTTTCTTTTCATCTTTGCAATTTTTAATGTCATGAAACAATGTTCCATTTCAAATTGCATTTGTCAAATATGATCATGCCTGTACAAACGGTATGTAAATCATGTAATTGCTTAATTTATGTGAAAAATATTTATTATTATATATTACATCTGTGCAGGTGCGTCTGTGTAAGGTATCGCATTTCGCCAGCCTTTCATCTGCATGATTCAATGGGACAACTGCACATTTCACAAACGCTCAGTTCACTAATTCTACTTGTATCTGCAGGAATTTTATAACACAAGAATACACTGCTGGGATGTGGTACTGTGTAACACCAGAATCCCTCAGTTAACGGGTAGGTCACGCTTTTAGTGATGTCAGTATTACTGCCCTTAGCTGAAAAAGGTAATTTGGCTGTGGTACAGATGTTTTTGGCTGAATCTGTCACTACCAATTAATATCCCGTGAAATTTCACTGAAGAAACCCTTCAGGCAAATATCACAAATCCTCTGACAACTGAATAGAAGCATTTCACTGGTTCAAGATGTATACAGTGATGAATATAATGCGCTCAGCTCTACATTACTTCAAGAATTTTCTTGTTTGGAAATGAAACATGTACATGTAAACTGTATCAGTAGCTGCAAAAGCACCTTGACATCTAAGTCTCATATGCCTTCTATCTCACTACTTCGTCTGATAATAGCCTGACAGCTGTTCTCGAATGTAGCAAAAATACTTCATAAACCACAAGTAGCACTTCTTACTAAGCAGAAGTATTGGCACTTAGTGAAAGTATTTTCGGAAACTAATACGACGTGGTTAACGTTTTTCACACCCACACATATATACAGATACACATCTATCAACGCAATGACACCCATTTATTAACTATGTAAGGAATGTTATTTCAGGCATACTTCACAGTAATATGCATCAGTGATATAAGCATACTAAACGTAACAAAAACGTTATGAGAGGTAGATGCACTGAAAGACTGCTTGTATGTATGACGACATTTAGTAGGATGTCTACCAAGACTTATAACCTGATATGAGGAAGACAGTATGAAACCATTAGGAGACAAGTACAGTCCAATCTAGGGACAGTGACACAAGTGGAACCAAATATATTTTATCTTCGAATTTTTCCTTCATGGAGTATAATGTCAGATTAGAATTCAACTACTCCCTAAAGCTGGAGTTTCGAGGGACTGCATAATGGCTTATGGACTGTTTTCAAACAGTGGATGGACTTAAGGAAATGTGTTAACAGTACTTTTTTCCTTCAGATATACTCACCCCATTTTTCTTTTTTTTTACTCTCTCACCACCCACCCATTCTTTAAGCTTATTATATTTCCTATTTGCATTTGTTTAAATGAAAACACCTAGTTCCAGCAATAACAGTCACATAACAGTCCGAGACCACTCCCCCAATCTATTCATCATAACTACATCAGGTGTTTTTAGTGAGCCTTTTAAAAGAATCTACCAAAAGTTCAGAAGCTATTTCTCGAAAAACCACTTAAAGGATTCGGAGATACTTCTGTTCAGAGTAATAAACGTCATAAGTTTGAAGACCGATCTTATTTTATACAATACTCTGTGTGAATCATAAGTCCTAATTTTGTTTGTTACAGCCATTAGGAAATGTCAATGCTAATCGCGGGTCACTTTTCAAAAATGAATATGCAATATCGTGGTGCACTTTCAAGCGTTGTATTTCACCAAAGAGGAAATATGAATAATAACAATGAGACTGCTGCATGATGCCACTAACATTTTACTTTATTCTGATAAGTGTGGTACTGAAAGAGAGTTCGTTCGTCTACCCCATTTCTCTCGCTGTTTCCCGGAACGCTATGAATAGTGGGGCATCTGTTTACTCACAAGAATATTTGAATGCTTTAAAATGTACCACCTTTTGCTGTCAAAATTATAAGAAAATCATATTTGGAGCATCAGAAAAATGGAACACCAAGATTTTTCATTCATTCCACGATATAACTGGGAGGAATATAATTTGGAATTACTATCAAGAATATTGTGAGGTCAGTCTATCTATTCATTCACTATGAAATTTCGATTTCTTCCTTTTAATTACTGAGTAATAATGCCTACTGCATCACGGGACCTACATATTTTATTTCCGACTCGTGAAACCCGATTTGCAGCTTCCTATTTTGAAGATTGCCGGATTGATTAGACTTTGACTGGTCCAAATTTCTATATTGGTACAAATGAAGATTTTTCACCGCGTCCGCATTTAGTGTTGATAAAAATGCTTGTGGTAAAAAACAGTGGCATATAGGCTGGTAGTACCCTAGCTAGTACTGACTTCGGGCGCACTGCATAAAGTTTGGGGCAGACAGCAGAAAACTGTCCCACTTCCTACAGTTCACCCGGAAATTTCGCATCGAAATTTCCGCAGTGTGCTCGAAGATAATGCTAGCTGGGACTCTTTGAGATGACAAAAAATTTCATTATAGTGGTTTACTTTAATCTATGATTTAAAGATATATCGAATGTTGCATGTCGATTGGCCTTGGTAATGTTCTTTTGACTGGCAAAACTTCCATAGTCTTATGCAGTCATATGTATTGGCATTTTGCCTTACATTAAGAGCACTGCTACACTATATGTACTTGAAGATTTTTATTATGAACTAGTTCAAGTTTTATCTCTTTAACTACGTCATTTGAAAAAAAGGAAGAACTGACCCCTTTCAAAATCCATGAAATGTCGGAAGATCATCCTAAAAAGTACTAATAAACCTGCTGAGTACCAATGAAATATTTTATTTTACTATATGTTACGCTGAATAACTGTCAAATGAATTTCAGTTTTCTAAGGTGGTTAAAAAATATTTCTCTTGAATTCACACAGTGAACCTGATATTACCTGTCAAAAGCAATATATTTATGTTTAGAATGTGTATACTGCACACAATACTTAAAATCTGGAAGACAAGCAGCTAAAAGTCTAGAACTAAAGTAGCATATTCTGTCTACCGGTTAATTTGTGTCAAAACTACTTGAGGATATTTCTTAAATTTACACTACGTAGCAGTTGTGCATAGTTTATAGATGTGACTTCTGCAAAAGAAGCAGTTTTCAGACCTAAGCAATAGCATATTACATCTCATTTAATCTACTTTCCCTGGCATGTCTCAGCGTTCGTTTATTTCTAATTGCTTGTTTGCCAAAGGTCGGTCGGTCGGTCGGTTTTCGACATGGAACTTTGCACATATGTGCGGCAGTTCAAGTCGCCACACTCCATGTAGCACACAAAGCAAGAGAAGAAAGTAGAAGAAATGCATAATATAGTCAGTAAACAGAGGTGTGAGACAAAGGAATAGGAATAACGAAGAACAAAACAGTTTCATTGGAAATCATGAGTCACAAGGAGTGGATGCATCTGCACCAGCCATCAAGAACGATGAGTTTGAGTCATATCACCAATTGTCTCCAGCCATTGGTGTTTACCGTCCCGAGGACCCCAACCAGTCAGGAAGTCTACATCTTCCTACGTGGCTTAAGCTAACTCTTGTGGATTTCATTGACTGGTGCCATGTTTTCATTTGACCGCCGCTAGCTCTTTTCCAGCCTGGCCCCATATCAGCTAACATTGCCCGTCGAGGAAGGCGATGACTAGGCATACGTAACACATGTCCTAACCATCTCAATCGATGTAATTTCACAGTTTCGTCGACTGATTTCCCCGCCTTACCTAGCACTCGACGCCTAACCTCAATATTGCTCACCTTATCATACCACTTCACGCGGGAGATAGAACGCAGACAGCTATGATTAAAGACAGCTAATCTTTTCATGCCTTTTGCTCTCAATGGCCAGGTCTCACAGCCATAAAGGAGGACGAAGCGGACTGTTGAGCAGTGCACACGCCCTTTGGTCGATAGTCGGATATCGCGTCTACGCCAGAGACGGCGTAAACTGGCAAAGGAGGTTTACTGGCCTAATTATAACTGTTATTAACAAGGCTATCTAAGACAACCATTAGTTAATATGTAAATATTAGATCATTCGGTGATAAGGGTAAATGAAATCATTGCACAGGTCACTTCTGGTTTTGAACCGGTAAGCTCATACCTGAGTAACTGAAATGAAATTCGAACAACCCAAAGCCCCAAGTTTTACTCCTGCAGGACATTACTTTTCCCTTTGCCTCTAACCATCTTCAACTGTTCACAGTGTAATGGTGCTTCTTTCATTCGTTTTTACATTGAAAATAAAAAAGATTTGTTCCCAGGGCATAACTAGCAAATTAATCATTTTTGTGGTAAAAAATTCTATATTTGAACTGTTAAAATTATAGCTGAAGGCTGCATGTTTATCCATGTTATATCGTTACAAAGTATTGCTACAGACATTATACTTGTTGCTTAGATACATCAGGCACGAAAATATGACAAGATAGACGAAGTATCTGCGATCAGATATCTTGGCGATAATCAGTACTGCTTTGACTTCGAAAATTAGCATATAGACCAAATTTCTCCAACATTTTGCGAATAAATTAAGACTGTGTGACAGGAGGTTTTAAATAATAGGGCAATGTTGTTCCCCTCAAAGTCTATCTAGTTTTACAATCACTTAAAAATCAGCAACAACGAGGGATATTCAGTGTGGCTATGAGGCTAAAACCTAGATTTTGTGTTGATTTCTTCACTGTTTCGCCAGTAAACGAAAACTGCTTAAAGCTTAATATGACAGTCTGATGAGGATGAGGTGAAAGCTTATAACTAGTATGAGTATGAAATTTTTGATATTTGGTGTCAGCCAAAATAAATGGTTCTGAGAACTCATACATTTTAAAAATAGTAAACGGAGTAACTAAGAAATTCAACCACAATTAACTGTTGACAGAGTAAAATACCGTTGCGACTTGAGTTTATGAGTGATAAAACACAAGATAAATAAGTATAGAATAAGGTTGAAATTCAGTGAGCTGAGCGTTTTGCACAACTTATACGGGAAAATCTAGTCTCAGATCAATTTAATTCTAGCAGTCATTGAAATGAAACTTTATAAGAGTGAACCGATTATAGGATTATCTCTATATAAGTTGTCTAAATGACTGACATATCAGCTTATGACTTCGCACGAATATGCATCGATTTATCTTATCACACTTTTGTAAAGAGAAAAGTAATATAACGAAATTATTATGATGGAGATATATGAGAGTGAGAGTACTTAAATATAAATAATCAAGGACTTCCAAAATCTGCATAGTGACAAGTAGATATTTCCTGTTTTACCAGAAGCCTCTCACTACTAATTGTTGGGGGCCTTAAACAGATATTTTGTACTTGCCAACTTTACTTAAACCGAAATTCTTGGACTTCATTCTTCAGTAATAAGCTTTTCTGTGGTCACCTTAATTTAAGAAGCCGTAAAGTGGGAGAAAGAAAGCAGTTCCATATCATACATACCCTTTCATGGGCACCTACGCACTATATCCGTACCAAAGGTGACACTGGCTGTTAAATTGAAAACGAGTTTCCTGTCTGCAGAATGAAGTTTCATCCACAACTGGTTTGTTAGAACCAATACAATGTAGCAAATAAGCGGGAAGTTCAACATATTCATCTGCTTTACTTCCTACCCACAAACTAGGTCCCAGTCTAAATCAGTCTGCTGGTGTAACCTTACGTAATTCGAACTAAAGGCAAAACATTATTAGATCTCTAATCAGCGTTTCCGGAAGGCTGAATTTCTCCATCGTCTTTAAGTGAAGTGGCTATATGGCTTGCGAGCTCTGAATCAAGAAGAACCTCCTTTGGTGTAAATTTAGCGCATGAGTTAAGTAGATAAACTAGGGTCATGAAAACGAAAACATTTATCCTGAAATCAAATAAGGCGGTGGCATTGTGCTCCCCTGAGAGGTCTTACTGTTGGTCGTCACCTTACAGTATAACTGTCCTTAATTTCTTACATTGCTATGTGAATTCAAGTAAAGTGGGCCGTATCCATAGCCCTAATTTTCCACAAAGTTTCTTGATCTATGATGTCAAATCCTGTGTTTATAGTAGGGAATACTGTGAGTGCTGAACTCTCGTAAGTATATCTGATTTCAAAATCGTGTAGAAGGCAGAAAATATAACCAATAAGTTCTAATTTTGTCATCAAGCCTGTCAGGTTTTCTTGAGTTTGTCCGTTTCCAGACCTACCCAATCCATTCATGACTGATGACCTACAATTTTAGATATTATGTTATTCAAGTTGATTTTCCTAAGATTATCACAGGAGGATTTTTTTCGTGTTTGTAAATCATTGTAATCATTGACATGATGAAATTAAGAAGCCTGTGCGTCGGCGGCACAGTGGTTAGGACTCTCGCCGACCATGCATATGGTCCGAGGTTCGATCCCCCGCCGACGCACACCCGATATCTATGGTCGGGCTGTAAAATTTGGGCTACCGATATCCATGCTGAAAATTCCATACTTGTACTGAAAATACGGTGTGGCATCAAGCTGTAACCAAAATAATAAAAAAAATAAAATAATAAATTTGGTTAAGACGTCTATAGAAGATTAAGTATGCCGAATGAAGCCGTCCGCGGATGAGACTAAATGCCTTAATTTAATGTCTAAAACTAATAATGCCAGTAAAATATATGGTACTACTAAAATACATAAACCAGGTTACCCTGTAAAACCAATGGTTGATTTCAGGAATGCCCTACTTATGAAGTACCAAAGTACTTACCACTAAGATTATGTCTCACTAGAAGCTGCTCAAACTCCAGACTAACGAATTCATTCTTACAGGATACGATATTATTTCTGGTCAGCTGATTGTGTATGCTTTTACCGGCTGAAATAAATGGAAAATGCTAAACCATTTCTGATTAAAAGATATTGTTGATATTATTAAATAGCATGTATTTGAAATCTTTCCCAGAATAATACTGGACATACATTTTACAATTAAGTATTGTGCTATTTTCATTGTTCCTTTGAATTACTGCCATTTTTGTAGTATATGTTAATCAAACTGTTTAGATACTGTCACTAATTAAATTT